TCCCATTGGATGCAACCGGAAGCAGGAGACGTGAGGATTCTCCAGGCACAGGGCGACCAGTCGCCGAGTTCGTCATGGTCACGGCAATCGATTCTAGAGCGGGCACGAGTAAGAAGAGGAAGTAGCTTAGACAGCCAAACAACCCGATGGCAAGCAGGTTGTATTCGAAGCGTTCACCGGACTGCAGAGTGCGGAACTTGAGCACCCGTGTCTGAATCAGAGCCAGAATGCAAGCCAGCAGACTAATGAGGATGAGTGTGATCTTAGAGTATTGGTAGACATGCAGAGCCAACACACCGGAGTGCAAGCGGCGGATGAGCACGAAGAAAATTGCCATCGCCACGAACGTGGCCAGGAAAAGCACGAGCCCAAGAAAGAGGCCAGAATGTGACTTGTGACAGTCGTAGCTGCCACCGCCATGTTCTTCAACATTACTCCCGCTGTAACCGCTGTTCCCGACGGACGCTTCACTTCCCCTCCCAGGAGGACAGGCCAGAGAGCCTCGACTTCCAGATGACAGCTTTGGCGGGGAACCGGACTCTATATGAACAAGCTGGTTTTCTGTGAAGTTTCCTGCGCCGCTTGAGAAAACTTAAATAAGAGCAAACGATGGTATGTTCTGATTTGATAGACTCAAAGACACTTAGGCAAAACATTTGGGTGAATTCAAGTATATTGCTAAATTATCGGTAGCGATTATAGGTAATTCAAGGTGATGTCAGGTCTGATAACGAAATTCGTATTAAAAATGGTTGATAGTTTCTAAACCCATTAACATAGAGAACACTTAATGTCTTCTATTTTAGTGGCAAATACAAGGAAAGCCTTTATATTTTCTTACTTTCACTTAACCAATGTGAAAAGGAAACTAGGTTCACAATAAAAATGGAAGATTTCCTTACTCTTTTTGGATGTTCTGATCATTAAAAAAAGGGTATGTTAGGAAAGTATGATTATAGGAAGCCAATGTACGTTTGCTCTTTTCGGCCTCGTCAAAGTACCCCCTTGTGTTTGGTGGTTGAAAGAAGCCTAGAAAAGGCTTGTAAAAGGAAACCGGTCTTTGTAGATTTAGTATAAAGTAGTTCTTTCGAGCACATCATACTTACATTTGCCAATAAAGAGATCTTCTGAGAAAACTTTCTTGTGCTAAGGCCTTATTTAACACAGATAAGAGGAAATTTGGCTTGAACTCATTATTGAAAATCAAAATAACCTCATTCTTGCGCGAAATCTATATTTTACCATACTTACTGTTAGATTTAACACCTGAAATAACTGCTCTTAAATGTAATATACGAAAAACCCTTCCGAGAATATATCTCTAAAAGCAATGGAGGCCCCTTTACTTCAGCCAAGGGAAGTCGAACATAAGATCACCTCAATAGGGATCATTTGTAAATGTTATCCCGGTGCGATTCTGCTGATTAAATCTAACTTTAATCCAAAAAAATTTACTCGAGCTTAGTTTGGAAAATTGGTTGCATACCATGGTTACTTAATGGGCCAGGTAACTCCTGCTGTGTTGACAAGTAAACAAGGCAACCCAAGAGCCGACGGTATTTCTTATGTTTCTCACACTCTGGAGTCTCTACATATCTTCGACTATGAAATTCATCCCCAAATTCGTCCACAATCAGACTTGATTTTTCCTCGTTCATCAAGCTCCATCTCCGTCCAGTATCTCTGACGATTCCATGCACGAGAGAATGACGCTGCCTCGGATGCCATGCCTGTGTGAGTGAATCTCGAGGCTCATTTTTTCCAGTTGGCGCGTTATTAGAACACTCTTTAATAAAAAAGAAGGGGAAGAGATGGGTTTCATGTTTAAACTTGAGCAATAACTATTTCTGGTGAAGTAAAAAAAACTAATTCTAGACAAGATGTACCATTTATAGACATCACTGTTGCTTTTGTTACTGAATAGCTTCAAAATTGTTTAGATAGGTCTTCTTCGCGCTGGAGGTCGTGCATGCCGTATAGCTTAATAGTAATAGGGTCGCCTAGTCAAAAAGCTGGCATCCTTTCGTAGGAACGAGAAGCTTCCGAGCTTTAAGTTCAACAGAGTGTTGATAAGACCGAGACGAGATCGAAAGTGCCGTACACACTCGAAATGAACAGACAGCTTTATTTCAGTGTGAGTTATTCCCAATTCAAACTCACGTTTTTTCTTCAAGTAATCATGGATCGAATCTCTCACGGTCCATATAACCTCATAGAAAGAAAATAGTATCGTTGATACGATCAGCTTTTCTATTATCGTGATAACAAAAAAAGTAATAGCATTGATTAGCTGAATTACATTTGATAGAAATTGCTTGACCTTGTTTTCGCAACTTGGTCATATTGGTAGGACGACTTGAAGGAACGTACCTAGTCCGGAATCCATAGTATGCATGATAATTTACGCAGTCTGACCGTAGACGTGGTACATTCCCAGACATTTTGCCGGCATCGTAGTCGGCAGCGTCAGTGAGCATTGCTACTCTTAGCACCACACTACAACTGGTCAAAGAGACAAGTGAAGCCGATCCAATTGTCTGGTAAACGATCGTGGCATCTCGCCTACCGCTTTGGGCTAATCACCAAGCGTATATCCTCGTATCACTCCTTCACTATCACAATTTTTACCTGCCTTTTTAAATATGGTATGGTGTGCCCTTGTGAGCGGATTTCATAAAAACCCTCCTCACACACCTTTACCCTTGTGGTGGGAATGTTGATCAGATTCTGCCACACTATTTCGCAATCCTATACCCATACGTCTTATAAGAGTCTCCATCTTGCCTTGTAGGATCCGTTAGCTATCTCCCTGGTTCCTAAGTCTTCCTACCAATATGACCGAGTTGCGAAAACGAGGTCAAACAACTTCTAACAACGAAAGAAGACTGCGACCACACAAAAGGTCACACCATCTTGGTCTTCATACCTTCGATTAAACTATGGAGTGTTACTTTAAAGACATCTCCCTGAAACAGTCTGCGTGATGCCTGTTGTTCTTATATACAGAGAATATTTTGTTTAGCAATCTTTATAGTTATCCACAAAATAAAACTTTGGTTAGATTTATAACTTTAATGAGAACTATAATCTCGAAATCTGCTTACTAAAAATATTAGAAACTTAAGATTCGTAAGGAAAATCAGCGAAATGTTCTATGATAGCCATCAAGTTGTAACTGAGGCTCGTTATAACATAGTAAAGGATAATTTAGATGAATAAAGAAGGTTAAGAGAGTTTACTTCAGTACGAATAACTCTCAATTAATACTCAAACCATTCCTTCAAATAATCAGATTCGACTTAGAACCAACTTTAAAAGTGGATGAAACCCGCATCTGAATGAATGATAAATGCTGATTGTTTAAATTGAAAATAACTAACTGAAGTGATTGTAGAGTGATGATGCAGAATTATTTTTAGTAATCGTGGAGGAAGTAGCTATTCGTATATTCAGAACTTAAAGTAGGCAGACTTGAGGCCATCTGGTGCCTCATCTTGACAACAGGATTTTGAACCATATGCTGTCAATAGCAAATACATTACACATTAAAAAAGTACGACCCTACTTCAGGGGACACGTTGCGGTTATGAACCTTATAGAAGTAGGCTTACTTCATTTTCGCAACTTGGTCGTATTGTCAGAGAGAGCTAGTTACAAATACCTTGTCCGAAGTCCTCTCCTATAGTAATTATGTTCATTTCAAGAGTGAACTTGGTACATTATCAGACATTGCTCCGAAATCGCAGTCAGCATTGTCAATGAGTCCTGCTATTTTCAGCACCAAGCTACAACTCGTCAAAAAGACAAGTGGAATCAATCCTTTGACAAACGTTTGTATTATCACTCCTGTTCTGGCGCATCTACCAACTCTCTACATTCCTTTCACACTCCCTTCCCTTAACAACTTGTCATTTGTCTATTTTCGATTCCCTTAGGGGTGTGTCGTTTTTGGCGAGTTTAGGTGGGTGTTATCACACCTTCTTGTTTGCCTCTACCTCCTCCATCTCGATTTACCAGAATTGCTGATCCAATACGACCACAGAGATTCGTTTTATCTTACTGATTGACTGATTTCAATCTATTCCAATCACTCTATACATCTTACTCAATGCGCCATTTTTGCTTGTCTGTAATAAGCCAGTGGTAGCACGAATTCTGTGTCCTCACCGAGCAAACTAGCTAGTCTCTGATCCCCATGCGTGAAAGCAATACACGTTGCCTCTATAGCTCATCTCGGTGATTCAATCAATGTACCCTGGGCAAACTGGTAAAGTCTATCTCTGGTCTCCTGCTGTATTTAAGTGGATTTCTGGCCAATCGCAGCTTGATCTACTGGCCACAATGGCGAATTCGTGTGATAGTTTTGATTATCCGTCTTCATATTTCTGTGAACATCAGGCCTCTAAAGTTATAGTCGTTACTTTGAACATTCTACTCTCACTGAAAACATCTTCTCTTAATTTCTGAATGTTCCTCATCCACTTCTTTTTTGTGATCCCTTTTCCTTTGGTTAACAATAGGTCCTTGATCTAAACATCCCCTTTTTTATTGTCTTGTATTCTTGTTTTCTTTGAGTTTGATTAGGCAAAAGGCAGAACCATCGCTAACTCTGCCTTCTTCCAATCTATTGTGCCTCATCTTTCTTTACCCAAGGATGTCAGTGACCTCACTAATATTCCGCTTGCTTGTGTTTTCATCGAATGAGGCCCTTCTTTCTGATGCTTTCTGATTAATCTCGTGTACAGCCTGTCCAATATTTTACGCCTTTTTTAATCTTTTGATATCCATTTTCCTTCAAAGTCTCAGATGTTCCTTGATTTGTATGCTGATTTCCCTTCCCGTTTCGCCTAAATATTTCTGTATGTGACTTCGCATGCTATGCAGTAAGCTCCCGAGCAATCCAATTTGCCTACCATCTCATGTTGTGAGAGTGTTGCTTTTTCCTCTATGGTCACTTGAATATTTAGTTTTCTTAATATTGACCGTAGTTTGTAATTAGTTCAGAGTAAGTTAGGCGTATCCACTCTTGTGAGGTTTTCTCCATCCTTATTTTTCTTTCATAATCTCGGTCCTGCCATCGGTTTTTCATGGCCCATATGTCTTACTTCAAAAAAGGTGCTTCCGAGATCGGACTACTTATACACAGTGAAAGGAGACTTCGACCAAATCAGAGGCCACAAAATCTAATATTTCCCTTAAACAAGTGAGTCTCAAACTGTGCGCCGCGGCGCCCCAGGAAGCCGCGCCCTGTTTACAAGGGCGCCGCAAAATATTGTAAAAGCTTTAATTTGAGAAAATGTGTAGTGATTTGCAGGCTCATCTATCCCATTAATTATAAAAAATTAATTTAATGTTATCTCTTATCTTCGAATAGTCATACTTAGGGTAGGGCGCCATGGTAAAATTTTAATTGGAAAAGGGCGCCGCAACTAGGAAAATTTTGGAAACCTCAGCCTTAAACTATCTTGTGGCAGCGTATATATACGATTGACTAATATTATTCTGTAAAATGCATGCTACTGACAGAGTGATAATAGTAGTAATAATTTATATGAACTATTAGTATATTTCGATTTAGAAAGGTCATTCGCAAGGACAAGAGTTTATGGCTCAAAAGCTGCAATGGAGAGGCCTACCTGCTCCAACAATTTGAGTTATTTCAATATCCCAAAAAGTAATCAAAAAGGGTCGATTAGATTAAGCAAATGAAATTATTTAGAAGAAAGCAAGGCTGAAATTGGATTTAAAAAATGAATGATTATTACTCCCCGCCTAATTTTTTTCTCCACTATTTAATTTTATTTGATTTCTATCTGATAGACTTTATGCTACTTATCTTTGTTCTTTTGTGCTAAGCAAGGGCCGGATCTTCTTCTTTATATTAGTCCCTATTCCCAGTCCTGAGGCATCATGTTCAAAGGACGTATTCGTTCCATAAAAAGGTGTACTTCATTAGAATCGAATTCGCTCTACGTCAATGGAGACTATGATTATGGTATTATGTTGGCCTGTTTTGGCATACCATTTTGATCAGCAGAAGCAAAGGTTGACCGCCTTCTTCCACATCCTGAACCTGATTTTGCTGTCGGCAGTAATTTACCCGTTTTTCCGCTAAATCTGGATGTATTCAGCCTGCCGGTACGTTCGCCAATGCGTTGAAACATCTTGAAGAACAGTGAAGCTGTGATTATACTATACTCGATGGCAAATGGAAACAGAAAGGGAACCAGAAGTTGGCCCAGTCCCCTTGAGCATTGTGCCTTGATTATGTGGGTAGCTTCCTTTGCATCTGCCGAACTGAATGAGAAATTAGTTTGAGGTTGTGAGCCGTTGTAGAAGGATGATGGCAGACTAAAAACGGCAGGCTCCTGGATGGATTTGAGACCTGAAGCAAAAGAAAGGCATTGTAAATCTAATACT